ACCACTCTTGTGTGGGTCACTTCTTAGAGCTATGTTTGCAGCAAGCAACACTGAAGTATAAGTATATTCTCCTCTGGAACAAAGAGACCAGGCTGACTATAAATGTAATTACCGGATTCCCTAAACTCAGTGCAAAGGCAGTCTCCAGTGAGGCCCCTTCTTGTTAACTCCCAAGGATCTCAGGAGACATGAAGAACCAGTGCCTACATCATGCATTTTTACTGCTTGCTACATCTTCAGTAATAAACTTGTCTATGCCCAAAGCATCTCTTGTCTTCCACCAGCATCCCTGAAATAGTAACAGCCTAGCTTGTGTGTGTGTGTGTGTATGGGGGAGGGAGGGATCCAGACCTTTCAAAGACTCTTCACAAACAGTAAACTCTGAGTGAATGGAAAGATAAAATATTATCATCCACATCAAAAGCCAACACAGACTATTACAAACTATGAATTAATCAAGGTTGCTAGATATGAGACTAACATAAGATAGAATATATCTACTAGAAAGTTTTTAAAACATTTAAAATAGCAACAATGATGAACATGGTGGCATACACGTTTGTAATCCTAGGGACTTGGGAGGCTAAAGTAGGAGGATCACAAGTTCAAGGCCAGCCTCAGCAATTTAGCAAGGCCCGAAGCAGCTCAGCAAGACCCTGTATCAAAAGTAAAAATTTAAAAAAAAAAAAAGGGGGGGGGGGGTGCTGGGTATGTGGCTCAGTGGTTAAACATCCCTGGGTTCAATCCCCAACACCAAAAACTAAAATAGTAGCAAGTCCTATAAAGTCATAAATTCTACTCAAATATATGCAAAACAAAAAAATTGTAATTTTAAAGACATTAAAGATGATATGTACCTAAGTATATATAGCCTTTGTGCATATTCCTGAAGAGTAGTGAAAGTAACTCAAAAGAAAAACTACAAAGGCTACAAACAGGCAATCACAGAAATTTTGTATCAGAAATTAGCAAAATGTTACTTCTAATAATCTGAAAAAATTTGGCAAGAACATAAGGAAAACAGTTATATATAGCATAGGTGTATAAATTAATTCATCACATGGGAAAAGAATCTGGCAATGTCAAATTAAGTCCCAGCAATTTCACTTCTATTACTTAGAGTTTTTTTTTTTTTTAATTTTTTTAAATATCTATTTTTTAGTTTTAGGTGAACACAATATCTTTATTTTGTTTCTATGTGGTGCTGAGAATCGAACCCAGTGCCTCACACATGCTAGGCAAGCACGCTACCACTTGAGCCAATCCTCAGCCCCTACTTAGAGCTTTACTATTCAAAATATGGTCTATACACAGGCAGAAATCAGCATCACATTGGTAGTTTATTAAGATCTAGGCTCTACCAGAGACCTAATTAATCAAAATCTGCATTTTAACAAAATTTCCATGGAGAGAGGATGCGGGGGAAAAAAGTACACTCATACACTGCTGGTGGAACTGCAAACTGGTGCAGCCAATTTGGAAAGCAGTATGGAGATTCCTTGGAAAACTGGGAATGGAACCACCATTGACCCAGCTATTCCTCTTCTCGGATTATACCTAAAGGACCTAAAAACAGCATATTATAGGGACACAAACCACATCAATGTTTATAGCAGCACAATTCACAATAGCTAAACTGAGGAGCCAACCTAGATGTCCTTCAGTGGATGAATGGATTAAAAAAAAATGTGGCATTTATACACAATGGAATATTACTCAGCAATATAAAAAAATAAGATCATAGCATCTGCAGGGAAATGGATGGCATTAGAGCAGATTATGCTAAGTGAAGTTAGCCAATCCCAAAAAAACAAACGCCGAATGTCTTCTCTGATATAAGGCATATAAGGCGGGTGACTCAAAATGAGGTTGGGAGGGAGAGCAAGGGAGGAAGATTACCTCTAGATAGGGAATAGGGGCGGGAGGGAAAGGCAGGGAGAAGGGGAATAGCATGGATGTTGAAAGGAGACTCTCATCATTATACAAAATACATGTATAAAGATGTGAATTTGGTGTCAACATACCTTATATATAATCGGAGATGATAAATTATTGTATAATGGTGTATTAAGAATTATAATTAAAATAAATAAATAAATAATTTTTTTAAATTCCAGGTTATTTTCACATCCATTAAAGTTTTTTGTGTTTTGTTTTTGTTTTTTCTTCACATCCATTAAAGTCTAGGAATCAGGCATGAAAAAATTTTTTTGTACTTTTATTTCAAGAATATTCAATGCAATACTCTCTCTATAGTAGACAAAAGTTATAAATAATTTAAACTTGAATGGAGAAAGAAAGACACAAAATAGAATACTACGCAAAGTTTGAAAAAATTAACACTAAATCTCCAGGTATTAACATGGTAACAATGGTCAAAGATATAACCAGTATAAAAACAAAACAAAAAATCCTTTATGTAAGTTTTTAAACTATAAACAATACTATTTATTGATATTCAACACATAGCAATAAAAATGTGCACTGAGAATATCACTGGGGAAAAAAATTAAAGCTGGAAAAAGTACTATGAAGAAGTAAACACTAGCAGGGCATGGTGGTGCCTATAATCCCAGCAGCTCAGGAGGCTGACACACGAGGATTATAAATTCAAAGCCAGTCTCAGCAAATTCGAGGTGCTAAGCAACTCAGTGAGACCCTGTCTCTAAATAAAATATAAAATAGGGGTGGGGATGTGGCTCAGTGGCCCAAGTACCCCCAGGTTCAACACCAAGTACCAAAAAGAAAGAAAGAAAAATATCTGCAACATAAATGGCAAATGAGTCCCTTAATATAAAAAGTTATTACAAATCATCAAGAAACAGTTCCACACATATAAATATTGATCATAATTAAACAAAGCAGATCAAAACAAAGTAGTACCATGTTTCATGTACTGTGTGTGGAGGGAAACAGCAAAAAAATATTCAAGTATATGCATAAAAACATCATGGCACTTCACTTTTGAAAATGAGTCTACTTCCTAATAAGAAAGTTATTAAACTGATGCATTTTGGGACTGAGGGATGTGGCTTACTGGCAGAATGATGCCTACCATGTACCAAGCTCTGGGCACATATAGGCACCTATTCCGGCCCTAATACTTTCAGGCAAGTTACTTAGATGCTCTCAACCTCAGTTGCCTTGTTTGTAAATGGGGTGATAAGCAACTGCCTACCACTTATGATTTCTGTCACCTTCATATAAACTATTTTTCACAGTGACTGGCATGCAGTAATATTTAAAGAAATATTATTATAAGGGGCAAGGAAGAGATCATCTTCATCCACTCTCTTACACTATTGTATTCTAGATTTTTTAAAAATAGTTTAAAATTTTAAACTATTTATTGTAATACTACTTATGGATATTCAACACATAGCAATAAAAACGTGCACTGAGAATATCACTGGGGAAAAAAACTAAAGCTGGAAAAAGTACTATGAAGAAGTAAACACTAGCAGGGCATGGTTTATTTTACAATTTTCTCTGATGACTAGAATTTTTTAAAACCTACATAGTAAATTTTCTATCTAAGGTTTCAATGAACTCAAAAGTTTCAATGATCAACTATCAAGCTCACTGAATTTGCTAATTCTCTTTAAGTCTAAAAATATCAATAGAAACACATTTTCAATGCATGCTGACATTGCTTATATTTTTAAAGTGTTAGTACAATATTATTGATCATTCCTTTTTCTTTTTTGTGATGATGCTGGGGATTGAACCTAGGGCCTTGCGCATGCAAGGCAAACACTTTACCAACTGAGCTATATCCCCACCCCGATCATTACTTTTTAAACACTGTCATAAAAGAATCTACACTCTCCAGCCACAGAATAATAATTACAGAATATTAAAATACAAATATGAAAATGAAGCCACTGCAGAATATCTTCACATGTTTATTTTGTGTTTAGAAAGAAGAAAACTTTCCCTACTTTGTTTTTATTTCTTACCACCCATCTAACCGTTTAATACAAACAACACTCCTGGTATCTCCTTTCAGAATAATTACTATTCTGAAAAGATTGATTTGCCTGTTTACAGAATTATTTTAGCATCTGTCCTAAAGTAAACTGATGGAAATGAGAATCATCTAAAACAAGGGAATTTTCCAGTTAGCTAAAATTTTCAGCATCTATAACTACCAATAGTCAAGATGTTACTTTTCAAACTGCAGGCCAAGAAGATTAAATCAATTTAATGAAAGATTAAATCGTTTATAGGAATACTCACAGCAATTCAAAAGCCAAGGCCCTGAGCCATAGAAAAAATAAGTCACATGCAATTTAGCATTTCACCACATGATGGGGCTAAAATTCTACACATCTCAGAAAACCACAGAGGTGTAGTTCTGAAAACATTTTTACTCATAATTCAAAAGTTTTTATATCTCCATTCCAAACAAAAATAAATGAAAGACTACCATTACACTAAAAAAGAGAATGCAATACTTATTAATGTCTGTTCCATTTATTCAGGACAAGATTAAAAGGGGAGAAACGATACAGGCAAGCAAAAGTCTCCAGCAGAGAACAAGTAATTACAAATGGAAATATAGGACTAGTGATTTTAAAAGATGAAAGGACAGAGCAGGGAGAAGACATTATAAAAGAAGTATCACAGGCTGGGGATGTAGGTTGGTGGTAAGGCACTTGCCTAGCGTGCTTGAGGCCCGGAGTTCAAGCCACAGCACTGCAAAAATAAAGAAAATGGCAGCAAATGCTTGTGTTTGTCAGAACACTTTGGGTAAGGGAGAAAAAAATCTCAAATACTCAAAAGTTAGGAGTTCAGAGTAATAATCACATTCAGGAGATAATATTCAATTAGGAGAATTCAGACTTTAGACTAGCCATTTCCAAATTCTCAGAATCAAAATCATCAGCATGATGGCCTATACACAAGTCACACCCCCAGCCCATGCCTTCACATTCTGAATATATTTGAGTATAACATGACCAAAAGCGAAGTAGAAAGAGAGATGCAAGAAAGAGTACCTTTGTTGATGATGGTGGAGTAGGAAAATTAAGCCAGGCTGGAGCAAAGTCATGCTGCGCCATTTAGGTCCAGTCTCTCCAACTCAGTGAAACAAGGCTTCAACACCTCATGGCAAGTCCCTGTCATACAAAAATGGAAGGAATTAGACCTTAGCTCCTGGCCAAAATCATCTCCTTATACTATATCTCCTTTAAATTACAGTAATCCTACTACTATAAGATACCATCTCATCTAATTGTTAAGTAGTGATTATAGAAAGCCACTATTTTTGGACTGAGTTCCTGCTCTACGCCCTAAAAGACCAGAACAGAAATCAAAAGGGAGTCACTCATACTAAAGTTCCATATCACCAAACTAAATAAATTTTATTATGAAGCCTTCCAAATAACAAGGGAAGAGAGGTAATAGCCAAATTTTCCAAACAGACCAGTTTCAAACTGGCAGAAGAATACTGACATTCTCCCTGCTTTAAAAAACGTGAAGTAACCTATTTTATCCCCTCCCCCCCACCTTATAAGATTAACTTTGAAGTAACTAACAAGCTTTTTCTCCTCCAACCCTTTTCAGTCTATAAAACCAACATAGACTCAACCCATTAGAACATTTGTTCTCTATTTTATAAAAATGTTGCCCAATTCTAGAATAGCAAATAAAGCCAATTAATATTTTAAAATTTGTAAATTTGTCTTTTCAAATAAAAATCTGGAATAGGGAAAACTACAGTGATAAAAATTAGATCAGTTGCAGAGAGTAAAGAGAATGACTATAAAGCAAAAAAAAGAATTTTGGGGACAACAGGTCAATAACTTGATTGTGATGGTTATGCCACTGTACACATTTGTCAAAATTGATCAAATTGTACACTTAAAACTGGAGAAATTTTTTGTAAAGTATACTTCCATAAAGATCATTTTTAAAGATCAAATAGACAACTAGAATCAAGTGACTCCTGATGTCATCATACATTAAGAAGTACACAGTACCACCTATGATGTATTCTTGCCCACACCCCAAATGGAATTTGAATACAAGCTAACTACCAATCTGGCAGGAAATTCAAGAAGAAGATAAAGGACATAGGAACAGAGGGAGTAATCAACCAAATCCAAACAACAGATATGCAACAGGTCATGAAACCGAAGGAAAAACCTGAATAAACCCTCTAGATTTATTTGCTTTGATGGCCTATTTAGCTGGATTGATGCTGTATCCCTGTAGTCCCAGCAGCTAAGGAGAATGAGGCCCTAAGATATTTAGCAAGACTCTGTCTCAAAATTAAAAAGAATAAAATAGAAAGCGCTGGGGACTGGCTCAGTGGTTAAGCACCCTGGATTCACTCCCCAGTACCCTGACCCCAAAAAAAAACTGTCAGAAAGTAATCAAAACTTCTTTGAGTTCTATTTTATAAATTCATGAAATTTGTGCTATATGTACATGTTAATTTTGAATGTGCTATATCTACATGTTAATTTTAATGAGCCCCACCCAGTGGCACAAACCTGTAACCCCACTGGCTCCACAGGATGAGGCAGGAGGATCATGAGTTCAAAGCCAGCTTCAGCAACTTAGCCCTAGGCAATTTATTTTTGTCTCAAAATAAAAATTAAAAGGGGGGCTGGGGCTTCAGCTCAATGGCAGAACACTTGCCTAGAATGTGTGAGGCACTAGTTCAATCCTTAGTACCACATAAAAATAAACAAAGGCATTCTGTCCATCTAAAACTACAATTTTTTTTTTTTTTCGAAAAATAAATAAAAGGCTGGGAATGAAGCTCAGTGGTTAAGTGCCCCTGAGTTCAATCTCCAGTGCCCCCCAACACACACACACACACACACACACACACACAGTTAACCACACTAATATGACATGAAGCAAGAAGCACTTTTATACTCTTGAGTTTCTTCCATCATGAGAAAGCACTGATAGATCGCGTAAATCCCAGAAATGGCTTAATTCAACTAGAATATCAACATGTACAAAAACTATATGTCTATATGGCTATGGTACGACCAAAAAGAACTGATGACTGACATGGGGATTCTTTTTAAAAACAGGGTTTATACACTAGAATCAATAATTACCATTGAGCTGTTTGCTAATGAACCATCTTTTAAGATAAAAAGGTGGCCATTATTAATATTTTTCAACTTTCTGACTCAAAACTACAATGTTTTATACTGTTTTAAGTGAGCAGAAAATGATATATAGAAAGGCAATGGAATTAATCACTGTATCTCTCTGACAGAGGGAGGATGAAAGGAGAAAGAGAAAGGCAGGAAAGCAAGCAAGACAACTTAAAGCAGCCAGGCATGGCTGCGTATGCCTGTAATCCCAAAGACTCAGGAGGCAGAGGCAGGAGGATCACAAAAGGAGGAGGATGGAAGCCAGCCTCAGGAACTTAGTGAGACCTATATCAAAATAAAAAAATAAAAAGGTGTGTGGATGTAGTTCAATGGCTAAAAGCCCTGAAAATTCAACTCCCAGTTACCACCACAACCACCGCCCCCCAAAAGAATTTAAAAAGCCAGACACAGTGGCGCATTCCTATAATCCCAGCAACTGGGGAGGCTGAGGCAGGAAGATCCCAAGTTAGAGGCCACCATCACCAACTAAGCAAGACACTGTTCAAAAATAAAATTTTAAAAAGGAGGTACAGCACTTGCCTAGCTCAGAGGTACAGCACTTGCTAGCATGTGCAAGGCTCTGGGTTCAAACCCCAATACTGCCAAAACTACAGGAAACTATGATCACTGTCATAACGAAAATATAAAAACTCAGATACTGTGTTAGAGTCTGTAAACAAGTCAAAAATAACACCTGGCATTTTGCCAGGGGAATGTTAGAGTTCGTAAACAAGTCTGAATGGTGCCTGGCAAAATGCCTGAGGGGGTGGTTTGAGAAGTAACAAAAACAAGCCATTAAGTGTGGAGATTCCTTATTGGTTGACTGATGTATCTAGTTTATGCTAATTAGATAAGCTCTGTGGAATGTATAAATACTGCTCCTGTCCTGCAATAAACGGCTCCTACTCCTGCTGTATCAACGTACACAAGTTATTCGTCACCCCCCGGTTATTTTGCTGCAGCCAGCCGGACTGCGGCAATACTGGACTTGTTTAGTCTCTTCATTAGTATCCTCACAAATACATTTGGAGTTCATGATGGCATCCAGTCTATTAAAAAGGAAAAGAGGACTGGGGATGTGGCTCAAGCGGTAGCGCGCTCGCCTGGCATGCGTGCAGCCTGGGTTCCATCCTCAGCACCACATACAAACAAAGATGTTGTGTCCGCCGAAAACTAAAAAACTAAATAAATATTTTTAAAAATTCTCTCTCTCTTTAAAAAAAATAAAAAATAAATAAAAAGGAAAACAGCCTGCCATGGTGATGACTGCCTGTAATCACAGTGACTAGGGAGGCTAAGCAGGACAGTGGCAAGTTCAAGGCTTACACCGGCAACCTTGTGAAACCTTCTCAAAAAATAAAAAGATGTGGGGTTGTAGCTCAGTGGTAGAGCACCCCTGGGTTCAATATGCAATAACTCAAAAAAGAAAAAGGGAAAAAAAGACTGGGTACATCAGTGGTAGCACTCATACTTAGCATGTTAAAGGCCCTAGGTTCAATTCCCAAAACCAAAAGGTGAAAAGTAAAAAGGGGGAAAAAAGAATAAAGACGTTCAATCATTATAAAAGAGTAAAACTGTGATAATGAAAAGGAGGCCATTCGTCATTTCTGATCTGTCTGGAGGCCCAATAACTGATGAAATAAGACAATGGAGCCATGGCCTAAATGCAGGTGTGGAAGGCAAAACACATATACATGTAGAAAGCCCAGATATTTGGGACTGAGAAAATCTAGGTATAGCTGATACAAAAGGAGGCAGAGTGGGACAAATGATTGAAAGGAAATTACATGAACAAACTCAACATATCATAGTGTACACGAATATGATTAAACACACAAGCATAGCAACCATACAAAAAAGAAAAGTAGATTATCTCATAATGTAAATAACAAGCTAATTTAGGGTGCTAGCACAACAAACAGTTGTGGCTTTTCGGGGTGCTACAACCTAGCAGCCATTCAATAAGCAAATATACACACAACTCCCAGATTTTTATCACCTCATTCTTCAATAGGAATGGATCACCTGAAGTTTTAAGGTAGGCAGCAACATGTTAGAGATCATTAAAAACCAGTAACATGCCAGACGGGGTAACACAGGCCTGTAATCCCAGCAGCTCAGAAGTTGGAGCAGAAGCCAGCCTCAGTAAAAAACGAGGCACTAAACAATTCAGACAGTCTCCAAATTAAATTCAAAATAGGGCTGGGGATGTGTGTCAGTATTTGAGTGCCCCAAATTCAATCCCCAGTACTCCCACTCCCCCACCCCCCAAAAAAATACAATAGTAACACACCAGATGCAATGGCATATGCCTATAATCCCAGGAGCTTAGGAGCCTGAGGCAGGAATATCATGAGTTCAAAACCAGCCTCAGCAATTTAGTGAGGCCCTAAGAAACTCAATAAAATACACAAAAGAGCTACGGATGTGGCTCAATCCCCAGCACCAAAATAAATAAATAAATAAAATTAACACAAGCCAGGCATGGTTACACCTGTAATTTCAGTAATTCTGGAAGCTGAGGAAGAAGGATCACAAGTTCAAGGTCAGCCTCAGCAACACAACCACACCCTGTTCAAAATAAGAAAGCTTCCATGGTAGAGGGCGTCTGGTCCAATCCCCAGTACCATAATACATACATAGTTAAAAGGAACAAAAACAAGTAATTTAAAGAAATAACTAGCAAGATATAATTTTTCAAAATTTTAAAGAAAACAAATAACTTCTAGAACAAAAGAAGAGTATTCTCCTAAAAAGAGGGGAAAAAAGGAGACATCATGCAAAACAATAAAATGATTTAAATCAAAACAAAAATAATAAAATACCAAGCAAAAAAATTATTCATTCAGAATTGCAGTCATAGCTCAGTGGTAGAGTGCTTGCCTAGCATTTAAGAGGTACACATAAAAATAAATAAAGGTATAAAAAAATACAGTAACTTTTTAAAAGATTTTTTCCTTAATTGTAGACATACACAATACCTCTATTTTATTTGT